AGCATTCGTCTGCACAGGAATACACAATTAAATTATTATTTCATATTATCTCGTGTATTTTCAATTTTTGAATGATTAATTTTTGTATCCCAACATTTCCCCGAAATTAATGCATAACTTCTTTATATGACATTGTATATCCAATTGTTTAATTTATTTTCTAAAAAAAAATATATGCATGATATATTTTTTTTTAAACAGTTTGATGTCATCTGCAGATTTTCATGGAATACACGGAAATTAAAGTGATTTTAAATGTGTTGAATGATTAGCGAAACAATACGAATAATATAGAGGGTAAGGCAAAACGAATGAAAATAATTTTTAGAAAATAATGTTGAATCCCAAATACGTCGATTGAAAATTGCACAGCGATATGAAGACTTGACAGTCAAATGTCAATGACCACTAATGTCAATCCTCTTTCATTTGATAGGTGATTAGCATCTGTAAATAGTGTAAATTTAGTCTTTTTTTAAGCCATTCCCTTTTCTGACGTTTTTCAGTAGATATTTGAATAAAACTTAAATAATATCCTATGATATATTTTTTATTATTATTTATTATTATTACTTATTTTCATTTTTATTTTAAGAAGACACAAAGATGAAGTTATTGACTATCTCACCACATCCAAACTTTCGCTCTCTCCAATGAGGGGAATTTTCTCCTCTTGCACACGAACGAGGAAGAGAGGAATAAGAAGGAGAATAAGAAAAGGAATCAAAGAAGAGAGCAAGAAACATCCGAGAGGTTGCTTAAATGCGAAGAAATATAACCTAAATGATCGCCATTATGTTTCCTGTTTTGAAATCATTCGTTCTCATTCTGTGCATTAAATAGATTTCTTTTCTCCGAATTTCTGCATCAAATATTAAAATATCTTTTTTTTTTCTGCTCCGTGACTCTGCATAAGATATTAGCCTGATAGGACATAAGATATCTAATTTAAGAATAGGAAAATCAAATCATGAATATCATAATGGTACCGCTACTAAAAAAATAATAATACTATTGTTACTGTTTTTTGTTGCTCCTATCAGTGATAACGATGATAATAATGATAATAACAACAACAAAAAGCAATAATGATATTAAAAATACAAAAAAGTAGATCATCAAAACAAAAAGAAATAGATCATCAAAACAAAAAAACTAGATCATCAAAACAAAACAAAATTGATCAACAAAACAAAACAAAATAGATCATCAAAACAAAAAAAATAGATCATCAAAACAAAAAAACTAGATCATCAAAACAAAAAAAACTAGATCATCAAAACAAAAAAAATAGATCATCAAAACAAAAAAAATAGATCATCAAAAAAAAAAAAAAAAAAGATCATCAAAACAAAACACAAAAAAAATCAAAATTAACCCTAAAAATAATGCCACTCTCCCTCTCCCTGCCAGACGCCGACCTGACCCGTAGCGATGGCATTTATTCCCGCTACCTGCCAGCCATTCCCGCTGACTCCGGCCGCTACGCCCTCTCCGTCACCGCTACAGACAACTCGGGCACGGCGCAGGTTATTACGTCCTCCAGGCCCCCAGCTTCATCCCGCCCGCGTGTTTACTCTCGGAATCATGTGCCATATTCGGGACAAATCACGGCTGTCGGGACGCAGTACACAAGGGCGAGGACTTATAACCCAGGTGAGGGTTTTTTTTTGGGTTTGGTTTTTGTTTTTTTTGGGGGGGTTTTGGTTTTTTTGTATTGTTGGTTTGTGTGTTTTGTTTTCGATTGGTTTGGTTTTGGTTTAATGGAGAGAGTTAAGGGGGATGAGTTACCTTTATGTATTCTCTGTATGTTTTTTTTTATTTATTTATTTACCCAAGTCTGTAGCTTTGTCACGTTTCTTACACTCTTTTCCTCCCCCTCCCCTCCCCCCACCACCACACACACACTTCCCCAAATCTTCTCTTTCATTCAAAGCTCTTTGACTCCCCCCCCCCCCCCCCCCGCTGCCCCCTTCTCCCGTCATTTTCCTTATTTGATATCCTCACTTTTCTCGTTGTTTCTCTATCCCTCCTATTACTTCTGTCTTCTATATATGACCTTTCCTATCTTTGCCTTCCCTTTCCCCTTACCTTTCATCTCATTCCTTATCTCTCGCTCTCCTCCATCCTTCAAATAATTTCATTCCTTTCATTTTCTTCGCCTTCTTTCTCCTTTCACTCTTCAACCCTTCCCTTACTACCCCCTTCGCTATTTCCTCTTCGTCTCTTATTCCTTCGTTTAACATCTCTCCCTTGCTCTCCCTCACGCCATTCCTAAACCTTTCTAACAGTTTCTTTTACCTCCTGTTTACCTCATTTAACACCTCTCCCCTATCTCTTTCCATTCCTTATTACTGGTCCCTTTCAACCCACGCCCATTACCCCTTATCCCACCAACTCCCCATCTAACCGCTTCTAACACCCACCCCCTTATCTCTCCAACTTTTTTTTTAACCCATGCCCCTCGTCGTATCTTCTCTTACTCTTTAATTCTCCTATCTAACATCCCTTTCCTCCACTCCCCTTATCACTCCAACTCCCTCCTGACCGCTTTTAACCCACGTCCTTCCTTACTGTTCTCTCGCTCCCTCCTTCCCTCTCGTAGCACTTCTCCCGGCTCCCCTCACATCCCTCCAAGCACTTATAGCCGCATCTAACACGTACATTCTCAATATACTTTCCTCTAACACCATCCCCCTTCCTCCTTATCACTCCAACCCTCTTCCAACCCCTTCTTACCCACGCCATTCCCCTCCCCCCATCCCCAGATCTAATACCCCTCCCCCCCTTATCACCCCTTGCCCTCCTCTAACCGCTTCTAAACCCCTCCCTCTTCCCCCGCCAGACTGGCAGAGATGCTGCGGCTCGATCGTGCCCTACACCACCGCCCGCGAGACAGGACACCTCTCCCGCACCGTCACCGTAGGCCTTGTGGACATCGTGGGCGGCGGCAGGAACCTGTCTCACGTCCCGCCCTCGCGCATCTCCGACTTCCGGGCGGAGATCAACCCGGCGTCGCAGCAGATCACCTTCACCTGGACTTCGCCTGGAGAGTGGAGGGATTATGGAACGGGTAAGTGGGATGGAGTGGGAAAGAAGAGCGGGAAAGGGGGGTGTGGAGAGGGATGAGAGGGAGAGGAAGAGTTGGGGGAGAGGGGAGGGATGGGAGGGATGGGATTGGGGAAGGGGGGTGTAGGGAGGAGGGAAGGATGAGAGAAGACGAGAAGAGAGTAAGAGAGGGAGAGAGGGAGTAAGAAACAGAGACAGAGAGAAAAAATAGGTTCAGGGTGGTACGGAGAAGAAAAAAAACGTAAACAAACAAACAGATAGAGAGAGAGGGGTAACAGACACCCTGATTATGCTAAGACACTGTATCTGGACACCAAACGACCTTTGCCTTCCTCAAGGTCATAACATTCAGCTGCGAACATCCCTCTCTTTTCCATTTTGATGTTTTTATTATCATCATAGCAGTTATAGCACTTGTTATCTAGTAGTAATAATAGAAGTAGTTAGTAGTTGCAGTAGTAGTAGTAGCAGTACTAGTAGTAGTAGTAATAGTAGCAGTACTAGTAGTAGCTATAATGTAGCAGCAGTAGTGGTATTAGTAGTTTTAGTAGTAGTAATTGTTGTTTTAGCAATAGTTAGTAGTAGTGGTAGTGGGTTATAATAGTAGTAGTAATAGTTTTAGAAACAGTTGATAGTAGTAGTAGTAGAGTAGCAGTAATAATAGTAGAAATAGTTGCAGTAGCAGTAATAATATAATATTAATAATAGTAGCTACAGTAGTAGCAATAGTAGTAGTAATGATAGTAATAATAGTAGCAGTAGTAGTAATAGTTACAGTAGTAGTAGTAGAAGTAGTAATAGTTTTAGTAGCAGAAGTAGCAGTGACAGTAGTAGTAACAGTAGTGGGAGTAGTATCATATATCATCTTTATTATTGTTATTTCTATTATCGACAATTAGCCTAGCTAACATTATTAATTTAAGTTATGTTTATCAGGTTTACCTATTTATCAGAGAGAGAGAGAGAGAGAGAGAGAGAGAGAGAGAGAGAGAGAGAGAGAGAGAGAGAGAGAGAGAGAGAGAGAGAGAGAGAGAGAGAGAGAGAGAGAGAGGGAGAGGGTCGGAGGAAGGGATTTAGGGAGAGAGAGAGAGAGAGAGAGAGAGAGAGAGAGAGAGAGAGAGAGAGAGAGAGAGAGAGAGAGAGAGAGAGAGAGAGAGAGAGAGAGAGAGAGAGAGAGAGAGAGAGAGAGAGAGGAGAGAGAGAGAGAGAGAGAGAGAGAGAGAGAGAGAGAGAGAGAGAGAGAGAGAGAGAGAGAGAGAGAGAGAGAGAGAGAGAGAGAGAGAGAGAGACAGACTGACAGACAGACAGAGAGACAGAGACACAGAGACAGACATCTAACCCCCTCCCCCTCCATTCTAGTGATGCAGTACGAGGTGGTCTTCTCCCGCGACGCCGCCGCCACCGGCCGGGGCGTCGGCGAGTTCGCGCGCGAGTGGCCGGCGCCTGAGGCCGCGGGCGAGGTGTCGCGCCACATCGTGCGCTGGGGGCGCCACGACGGCGTGTACTACGCGGCCATCCGCGGGGAGAGCCGCATGGGCGCGAAGGGGCCCTGGTCCAACACGGCCGAGTTCTTTATGCCGCACCCGCCCACCACCACGGAGATCAACACGCGCGGCTCCACCCAGGGCGGGCCCATGGGCGGCAGTGTGTCCGAGCTGGGCGTCACCACGCCCCAGCCCGGCACTCTGTCCACCCGCGACATCCTGGCTATCGTGGGCGCCGGCTGCGGCCTGCTGGTGGTGGTGCTGATCCTGGCCGTGTACTACCTGCTGGTGGTGACGCGGCGACGGCGGCACCACCAGGAGAAGAAGGCGGTGGAGGTGCTGGAGCCCGTAACCACCACGCCGGCCGGATGCGACACCGACAGCGAGACCGACTCCATCAGCAAGCCGCCGCCGCCGCCCGAGGCCCTGGCCGTGGGCGAGCCCGAGGCCAAGGGCAAGCGCCCGCTGAGCCCCATCCAGTCGTGGCCGGCGTCCACGCTGCTGGCGGAGCACGAGCGGCGCCACGCGGCCGAGCCGGCGGACGGCGACGCGGCCGAGCTGGCGCTGCACCGCCCCGACCTGGGCGTGCCCTACATGCCCACCATGCAGCCCGCCCACCCGCACCCCTTCTACTACCACACCCCCAACGGCCACTACATCGAAGACAGCCTGGCCATGGACAGCGGCTCCGTGGTGTCCACGCAGCCCTCCGACTCGCTCCTCGTCTACAAGGTCGACTCGTCCGCCCCCGACGCCCTCCGCCCGCCGTCCTCCTCCGCTACGCCCACGCCCGCGTCCTGGGACAGCGGCCGGCGCCAGGGGCCTATGAAGGTGCCGCCGCCCACGCCTCCCAAGCCCACGCTGGCCGCCCACCTCACGCTGGGCGGGGTGGCGGCCACGCCCCTCGGCACGGAGAGGAAAAGGCGGAACGTCACGCAGGTGTGAGGCCGCCCGGGCGACGCGGGCGGTCGCCGCTGCGGGCGGCCGCCGATTCGGGCGGTGGCTGGTGCGGGCGGCGCCGGGCTGTAGGGATCTCCGGCACGCTGGCACTCGGCGCGCATTGTCACTGTTGCAAGTGCCAATTTCTGCGTGTGTTCACGACGACCCGACGCTGATGCAGAGGCCCAGAGGCGCCAATGGACACGCTGACGTGGCTGCTGTGCGAGTGGTCCTTTGCGCCACCAAGCCGGTGATCGCTGCCGCGGGCGGCCGGAGCGCAGACGGCCGCAGAGCACGGTGCTCGCGCTCATTTTTCACAAACGCGGACAAAACTCACGCCGCCTTTCTCGAACATTCTCGCCGTCATGAGTCAGTGTGTGAGTGGCACTGAGCGAGGCGAAGTGAGGGCGTGAGGCGCGAGATATGAGGGCGTAAGACTCTCATAAGACTCCCCCGAGGACCCTCCGTCTGGTCCAGGACCGCGTGACCTCTTCCGACCTGTTCCCAAGGGCCTCGGACCTAACCCGAGTATAATACATCGTGCTCAATACTATGAAAGATGATGATGAATAAAGAAAAAAAAAAGATAAACCTCAGAAAAAATGTAAATCTCCAAATTACGAGAGAGAGAAAAAAGCTCAATTGGTTTGACTCAAGGGCTAAGAATGCGAAGGGATTCAATTCCTGAGACAGAAAGAAATCTTTGTGTCCAGTGAGTATCGGTTCACCTCCCAAGCAGCCTAAGTTTTCATATCATTAGAGTAGCAAGCACAGATCAAGCACCAAGTCACTAAAACCATTATGATTTGGCTAAGTGTAAATTCCATTTGTAGTTTTTTCGGTTGTTGTTGTTGTTGTTTGGATCTCTCCGTTTTACTGTATAGGATAAACTAGCATACTGTTGTGTCTTATATTTGTTTAACAAAAAGCAGTTCCATTATTGTCTCTTTAACTTTGAAAACAACCATTTTGCCGGACACAAATTTCATTAACACACACACACACACACACACACACACACACACACACACACACACACACACACACACACACACACACACACACACACACACACACACACACACACACACACACACACACGACCCCAAGGCCATAATGGTAGCGCTGGGAGACCCCGACGCCAAAGATATCCAGGCAGCGTTTGTACAAGGCACGAGGAGCCAAGGCTCGAAGAGAGGTTTACAATATTGAAGGAAATTTTGAGGTATCTGATACTGCATTTTTTATTACTAGCGAGTAATGTTAGATGTGAAGTGTCTGTATGAATGTATTAGCTTATTCATGTTGGCAAAGGTGGTCTTGTTCGACCATCGTATTCATAAACTAATTTAAATCATTTTTTGTACTCTCATTACAGCAAGATGTACAATTGTCGTCCAACAGTCGAAGTCTCTGCACATAATTACTCAATAATGTGTCTATAACTGCACCATTTTTGTAAATGATGTACATAGGAGGTTTTTGTGCCAAATTTCGTGTAGGCCTTGTCTATTTTTGTACTTGCGATACAAAGACACGGGAAGCAAGAAGAAAGAGAAGAAGAGAGACAGAGAGGAGAAGATAATTTGAAAAAATAAATAAGTAAATAAAAGGGCGTAATCCCATGACGGATGATTCTCCTTTTATTTCTTCTTCTTTTTCTCCTTCTTCGCAGATGTCTCACTCATGGCCGCGAGGATTTGACTCGGAGTTGTTCTGAACTCTGAACGATGTTCGTTTGTTTCGTTCTCTTGTCTCTTTCTTCTACAGATTATTGTGTGCGTGTGCGGGTGTGTGTTTTGTTCGTGTATATCTTTGTTCACTCTGTGTGTGTGTGTTTGTGTGTGTGTGTGTGTGTGTGTGTGTGTGTGTGTGTGTGTATGTGTGTGTGTGTGTGTGTGTGTGTGTGTGTGTGTGTGTGTGTGTGTGTGTGTGTGTGTGTGTGTGTGTGTGTGTGTGTGTGTGTGTGTGTGTGCGTGCGTGTGTGCGTGTGTGTACGTTCAAGCATGCATGGACAAAGACATTGTATATACATTTGCATTTGTATATGTTAATTTGTGCATGCGTGCATATAGGTGTGTATGAGAGATTTTCGAACAGGCATTTTAGATGTCGTTAACAACCGAGAATGTCATGTTGCTTTCTATTGAAGGAGTAACTCTTTTAAGACTAAGACGATCCCGTTCTCGGACATACACGATCTCCCCCTCGGACTAGCTCGAATAAAACGAAAGAAAACACCGCTTTGAAACGTTTCGGTAAATGTGGTGTGGACATTCAACTTTTTTTTATCAAACTTCGATTATCACTCCCTCTCGTGGTGTCATTTACAGTGTTGTTGATGTTTTATTTTCATCGAGTGTTATAACTGTAATGATCAGTGTTTGTTGTGATGTTGGCAGGCCGTAGCACTCATTTGTTTTTTGTTTTTTTGTTTGTTTGTTTTTTTGGAGGGATAGATATGTTTTTTTAATAATAAATCCGTATAGGAGAATATTTAAGAAATAATGGAATTCATTTTTTTACGAGGAGTTAAGAGATAGATATAACAGCACGTGCTGGTTATCATCGGCTTTTTGATATCAGGAAAGAGATAAAGATATGAAATTATACAAAATGAATAATTGCATACATGAAATTAATTAATTAACGGGGCAGATAATGTAAAGAATAATATCTAGAACTTACAGGAATATCTATATCTTTTTATAATAGTCTTTGCTGTTCGTTTTTCCTACACATATTGTCTTGTATCCTTTCGTTATTTTTTGTTTTCTCATTTTCTTTCTTTTTTTCTCTCCATCCCTCTCTCTCTATCCCTCCCTCTTTCTTTCTCTGTAATTCTCCTACTCTTACATTTTTCTTTTTCATTATCTCTATTTCCACTTCCCCTTCGTTCCTCCTCATCTTTTTTATCTTCCTCGCTTTCTCTCCTTATTATCGTTCTTCCTTATTTCCTGATCCGTTTTGTTTATTCTTCTGAAATTCCATTTTGAATATACTGTAAAGCCGTAAGTATGTACGTGTGTGTGTGTGTGTGGTCGTTTGCATGTTTGTCTGATGTAAATATCTCTTTTTTGCAAATGACCAAATAAGGTCAAAGAGATATACTTATAGAAAACAAAAACTCTATTACATTATAGACGACCTTAAACGACCTCGTTTTCATGAATTATTTTTTATCTTTTTTTTTCTCTCTCCAACTTTTTTTAACGCATATCAACTCGCTTAGCACTTATGTCATGCTGTACGATAATCAATACTCTGTAAGTTTGCACATTTATGTTATATAGCATTTAAGACAAACAAAACAAAACAAAACAAAAAAACAGGGAAGAACAAAAAGGAGATGTTGAAGGGAAGTGGAATTTTTTTCTTCTTTTTTTTCTTTTGGATGAATTACCAAAGTGGTTTCTAGGACCAATATTTTTTTTTCCCGTGAGGTCATGAGGTCATTACCACGAGTTCAAATGACCGACCTAACAGTGTGTAGACAAAGGTACGAAGGAGAAGGAAGAATCTCACAATGCAACGTGTGCAATGCAGATTTCAACATTCCATCTACAACATTATGTAAGGGGAAAATCATTAAAGATAAATGACATGTTGCAATGAAGGAAGATGGAAAAGCCAGTTGCATAAATTTAGCTGCGATATTCTTCATTCTCTTTCATGCCTCGTTCTACGTTAAATGTCACGTGACCTCTGACCTGACTGTTCTGTAGGCCCGCACCTGGCACGGTATGACGTCATCACTCTGGCTCAGTTCTTGGCTCACCACAAAGAGAGTGAACACTGGAGAAAAATATGTGAAAAATATTGATTTTTTTAATGACGTGATCGGTTACAGTTTATTATATATAAGGAAACTATTTTTCTTTTCTTTTGAAGGAAATGAAAAAAAAATGGCAAGCTCCAAAGAAAACCGACTTTTTTCTGCATTCAAGTGAGTAGATTTTTTTTTCTTAATTAGGAAAAATACGATACAAATTTTGCTTCGTGTTAGAGCTTTAGTGATGTCACACACTTTGAATAGCAAGTTGAAAAATAATGAATCTAAAAACTAAAATTATAGGCGTGAAAGTGATATTTAGTTCACAGAAAAAAAAATAAAGAGAATGTAGAAGGGAAAAAATGAACAATAAATCCTTCACAAAACAATAATGATAAAAAAATGACCAGAGTGACGAAAAGAAACCGAAAACAAAACAAAAAAAGAAACGAAAATCTAAAATCTACCTGGAGTGGAAAAAATAGTCGCTAATTACAATGACCAATGATCCATTCCTTTCGTTCTGTGGTGACGTGCCAGTGAATACAACGCGAGAGGCCGATGTGGATAACCCCCGTCCATGTTTCTGTACGTTAATAGCTGTTTTAAAGTCTAAGCAAAAGAATACATAATTGTTAGACCAAGTTGTACTGGATTCTGTTTTTGTACTTGATGGGCCGAGGACCATCTACGTCATAGCGCGAGTAGTGAAAATTGTGTATATATATGTGTGTATATATATATATATATATATATATATATATATATATATATATATATATATATATATATATATATATATATATATATATATACATATATATATATATATATATATATATATATATATATATATATATATATATATATATATATATATATATATATATATATATACATGTATATACATGTATATACATGTATATATATGTATATATATATATATATATATATATATATATATATATATATATATATATATATATATATATATATATATACATGTACATGTACATATATGAGCAAGAAAAAAGCCCTTATATTGGCAATGTGTGCGCGTGTGTGTCACTTGCTTTGCATTTTCTGCTGGATATATAAAAAAAGAATATATATTCAAAGAATATATATATATATTCACGCTGTCTTCTGCGGACGAGGAAAAATCTCACTCAAAACATTCTTCAGAGGCATGGAAAGATGCACTCAGTGGAAGAGAGAGAGAGAAAGAGAAAGAAAACAGCCAGAGAGTGAGAGAGAGAGAGAAAAAAAGGGAAATAGTAAGAGAGAGTCAGCATTGAAGCCAAAATTAAAAATCTCAGTCGAGAAGGCTACCGGCAGCTCGCTTACCCACGTGTGTGAAAGGGGCGTGTTATTTGACTTCTATACCACAGCTACTTCGCGAAGACGTCAGATGTCAACAGCGGACTCTGATTATAATGATGATGTTTACTAGACCGTGTGGCTAAGCAGTCTGGCATTCCTGATCTCCACTTTGTCAAGGTTTCAACTCGCTTTTTTTTTTCCTTTCTTTCTTTCTTTCTTTTCCTTTTTTTAATATTGTGTCTAATGGTGTTTCAAATTCTAAGGAGGTTTTCTTTATATGTTTTGTTTTTTGTTTTTTCTTTTATCTGTAGGGATGTTAGATGGAATTATTCTTTGCCTTTGTTTTTGTTTTATGTTTGTTTGTTTTTTGAATTGGTGGTGTCGATGTACGGAATCGATTTATTGAATAGTGAAATGTTCAACCCAAGTGGTGAAGGGGATATGTTGAATGTGCATCATTCGAAGTAAAATCACATTCTTCGTCTTCTTCCTGTT